TGAAACAGCCTGCCCAAGGAGGTGGTGGATTCACCATCCTCGGATGTATTCAAGAAAATTGTAGATGCAGACCTTCAGGGCATGCTCTAGTGGCCAAGATGGTAGGTTTTGTTTTTGTGGTGGGACTTTTGGTTGGTTGGTTGTTTTGGTTTGGTTTTTTATGGTTGGACTTGGTGATCTCAGAGGTCCTTTCTAACCATGACCATTCTGTGATTCTGTGAACTGAGGTAGACTAGCATAACAATTATGTGACAAAGAAAAGTATAATAACCAGCAAAACACCCAAAATCCAAACCCTCAATAAACTTAATTCCAGTTGTTCTGTTATTGAAATTTATGCATAAAATCCTTCTTAGTCTGCATCAGAAACTTATTTTGTGCAAAGGGTGAAACAAAAAGATACCACTAAAGACTTTTCCCAGACTATATTCCTAAAGCAATGTAACTGCTTTTGGAAGATCAGAGTCTCATATAGCATGTTGGAGGGGAACTTTAAAGATCATCTAGTCCAAGCCTTCTGCTGTGGGTAAGGATGTCTTTCACTAGATCAGGCCGCTCAAAGCTCCATCCAAGATCCCTATGGCCATCTGCAATAACAGTTAAAATGAAGAAATAGCACTGGATTAAAAACTACATGTGTCAAGGTTTGGAGCATTTATTCCTTCGGAAAAAAAGTACTTGACCACTGACAAAACTGCAATGCTGCACCACTGCTTTTACTTAATTATAAGTTGTTATATCATAAAGTCCAAGAATAGTAAGCTTCATACTTAAGAGAAAACTGGAAATTCCCATTTAGAAATGCTACACTACAAATTATTTGGTTTCTAGTCCTGGCAGTCCTTGTGCATCTCATACCATTAAAACATCCTTACACTTCTCATTTTGCTTCTCCCTCCTGCAAGTCTTCTAACATTTTAGTGACTGACATCTAGAGAATTGCTAAAGCTACAAACCATTTCCTTATGTCTGCCAAGATCCCAAAGCCTTTGTCTATAAATAGTATAAAAGCATTGTTTTCTACAGCAGTTCATCATACTTTGGCAGCTAAAATCATATGGAAATATGATTTGGTGAAACTGGCAGTACTTTCTTGTGGCAAGAAAGGCTTTCCAAGGTCTGGTCTTAAACCAACAACCAGCAAGGAAAAAAAAAAAAAAAAAAAAGTCAGGCCTTCCATTGCTTCTCATATGCTTACTATCTTCCCCAGCACAGACTCCTTCATATATAAATCCACTGGGTACAACTGGCAAGGGTGGTGGTATTTGGCTCCAGGCCTAGGCTGCAAAGGTTTAATGCATACTGCTGAAAACTAGCCCAGGGATTAGGGATTCCCGAATCATGGTGTAAATTCCCATCCTATAGAGGCAGTTTCTTGACTTCAGCAACAAGCCCCACTGCCTGGGTCTCTACAGTAATGGACTGCGCTATGAATCGCATGTCTCAAGTGAAAAACAACAAAATCTCACTATAAATTCAGTTTTATTTATATAGCAACTTCTAATATGACTTCTACATTATTTTAAAATTCCACAAGGCAGTAACAACCTATGTAACAACTTCTGAAGAAAGCTGCTTCAATTACAAGGTATAACAGAATATGTTATCTGCAGTACGTTCCCCATCAGTAAATCTCTGTTGATTATCACTACTGAAAGCCATATGCTTTCCTGGCAATGCTCCAGTCAATCTGTTATTAAAGGTGAGGTATCTGAATAAATATTCGTTGGGGTTTTAAATGACTGACAAAAGGCAGCAGGTTATTCTGTGACCCCACTGTACCCCCACTTCTCCTACTTCACCCCCAATTCAAACATACGTGAAGGCATGACTACATCAAACTAACTCTCTAACAACAAAAGTATTTAAAGACTTTACTGAATGCAGGGGGAGAGCATTACTAATTACACATTGTGCTAGTAACTTATTTCCACTGGACAGGCCTGCATAGTTTAAAAAGTGACCACTGCAAAT